TGTGCTTAGCGGAAGTTACCTCTTTTTTTCTTGATATCCTTGTATCTGCTTGTTAAATAGATAACTCTGAAGTTAACTCACATGCCTAATACTTAGGTTTTAAATTTATTTTTAATCACTTGTTAAATTATTTAGGTAATGAACCTTCTGCGTTTTGATCTATTTCTCTGATATGGATAAAATTATTTGATGCATGGATATCAACAGGCATTAAGTGGATCAGAGAAGGGAGAATCAGTTGCCATGCTACTCTCTCCTGCAATGTCACTGCCTATACCTACTGTGGACTCTTCACGACAGCCGAGTGGAAGCTCATTCACGAGTTTTCTTACAATTCCTTTACAGGCTTTCATTTTGATGCTTGGTTTCACGGGTTCTGACATTGACATGGTGTGCTAGCTTAGCCCCAACTGCATCTTACCTGTTTTTTATGTCCTTGGTTTGCTCACACATGGATTCTTGCTTTCAGGATATGTATGATAAGGCTGACAAACTACTTTCTTCATCATTAAATGAGTGGGGTTTGTTATTAGCAGCATCAGATAATCTTAATCCTGTTTGGGCTCAAACTCTTGGAGATCCATTTTTACGGCGGCTCATTTTAAGGTAGGTTGCTACTGTTCGCCAACATTTTCTTCAGTACTCATCTTAGTCATCTAGTGTCAAGTCTTGAAGTAGGCCCTCGAGTGGCTGAATATGGAAGTAGTTGATTTGACATTGAGCACCTGGCAAAATCTGATACTTCGCTGGTATAAATTGCTGATTCACTCGTACATTTTTTTATTCCAAGATGTTGGTTTGGAGTGTCGGTTAAATTGGTATCTATTTGTATTTTCTCAAGGCTTATGGGTGTGAGGGTGGATGTGATGTTGGTTCGGTATGTCAGTTAAATTGGTCTCTATTTGTATTTTCTCAAGGCTTATGGGCGTGAGGGTGGATGTAGAGGTTAACCATGAATTCTTTTTTGAGGAAATTTCTTGAGAATGGTAACAAAATCATAAATGTGTAGCACAAAGGCTGTGCTAAAACCATCTGTACAATTTAAAGGGAACATAAAGTTAGCTTTCTTCTACTTCCTAATACAGGAATTCTATAATATCCGAGGCACATAAGTCAACTCCTGTCCAAGCCTTTTCATCTTCAAAAGACCTCTGTAATCATTGTTTCTCTGTCTCACTGATGCAGGGACATCCAACAAAATGGAACTTAGGTCTCCATTCCTCTGTTTCATTGTAGAGTTTCTGGTAGAATGATAATATTTCTCCTTTAATAACTCAAGGCTGTCACCCCTTTAATCTCCAATTTGTCATTTTTGAGGAAATTAAAATGACAAGTCAGCTGAATCCTTTAAGGGTTGTTTGGTTTGAGGTATTAGGAAATATAATCATGGTAGAATTTCTTGCATTGTTTTATCCCTTGTTTGGTCATTATTCTCAATTTCTCATATCCTGTATAGGGAATCTTCGTAAAACTTGTACAGGAATCTCAACCTGGTTCTTATAATACGAAGAGTAGCTTCCACGTATTGGTTTGGTGGTAGTTTGGTGCACCGTACCTTTTCCTCTGTTCATATCAGTACTATTAGCAATGCAATGCTTTCTCTATTATTTGCTTCGAGCATTGTAATATTTTGCTGTCATTACTATTCCTTATCCTTGAATGCTATGTAATGTTTTCTCTATTATTTTGATGTCTTCTTTTCTTCTGTGTTCTTTTTCATACTGCTTTGATGTGTTACTTGAACCGAGGATCTTTCGGAAACAAGCTCTACCTCCAGTCCTCCACGAGGTAGGGGTAAGGTCTGGGTATACTTTACCCTCCCTAGACCCATCCCACAGGGTATGTTGTTATGGGGACTTCCTAAATTATTGTACCAGATTCAATATGGGATAATAATCCCTGTATTAGGCTATTAGCTGTGATGAGATAAAATAGCAAAAAAGACCAAAAATGCCCTTGTTTGTAATAGTTGTTTTCAAACCCTTAAAGCATGCTGGGGGTATAATTTGGACAAAATCTTATCAAAATATAAGGGGACTGCACACAAGTAATGGTGCAAGAATATAGAGTAAATCTTTTATATTTTAGCAAATTTCTAACCAATCTAATGAAACTTAAGTAGTCCTTTTAATAAGTAAATATGTTTTTAAGTTATACCGGTCTACTTTTCTGTTGCTCTTTTCCTCGCAAAAACTTTGAAGGTAAAACACTCTGAATATTGCAGATTCATATTCTGTCGGACAGTGCTGGCGCTGTATGCTCCAACCTTCAACAAGACAGAATTTCTCCCTGAATGCATCCCTTCCCTTCCAGATACTTTCCTGCCAACTAGTGACACATGTCAAAGGATAGTATTGCAACTTGCTGACATCTTTGGTGCAACCAGCAAGTTCAATTTTTCAGAAGAGACGACGATGCTTTCTGAATGCAGAAGCCAGGAGAATTGAACTTGGCAACTAAATTATTATTTTTTTGGGTCAATTCTGGTAGCTTTGTAAATTGATTTGAAAATGAGGAGGCATCTTTGGTTTGTCCCTTCTCTATTTATTTCATGTTTGTCTGTTAATGTGATTTGGGGTTCTGTAGGTTGATATATATACTTGTCCAGTTAGTCATATGTGATGCTTGTGAAGTCTGAACAATGGTTCCTCCAACATTTCCAGTTTGATTGATTTCCCAAATGTTTTCAACGCGAGCGGCGCTCATGCTACAATCTGTATTGGCTAAACTCTCTTCTGTACATCTTTCTAGTTTCTTTTCGCTCAAATGTTTCATATGTTAATGCGATAATCATGTAAAGAAGGATTTAGTTCTTCTTGGAGGTGTAGTTAAGAAGTCAGCTGCGAGGGTGTTTGGTTAATTGTTTGTAGTTTCATGGTAGCTTTCAGTAGTACTTTGTTTATGAAGGAGATGATGGAAACTGTAAAAAGTTGTTCTCTCTTTTGTATTCCATATGCAAGTGAAAAATATTACTATCAGATAGAAAACTGGAAAAACGTTTTCCTTTGTACCAAACACACCCATATATGACTATACTTCCACATATTTTGGTAAGATAAATTTTTACTAGTTATCCATAATGCATCTTTAAAAAAAGATAAAAATATTGAAAATACCTTTGAACTTGACGCAAATTACTATTGATAGCCTTAAAAATACACATATATTTGATTAACTGAACTTAGTGCTCGTTTGGATTGACTTATTTTAGGTGCTTTTAAGCAGTTTTGAAGTGTTTGGGTAAAGTTTAAAAGTGCTTATAAGCACTTATTTTAAAGTCAAAATAACAAAAATAAGTCATAATTCTAACTTATGGCTTTTGGCTTATAAGTCATAAGCCAAAAGTCAATCCAAACAGGCCCTTAGATTCACCTCTGATATGCAACATGACATAACAAGTGGTATATCAACATGACATAACAAGTAATTTTAAACTCTTGTAGAAGTATGAAACTTTTAATAAAAAATTGAGAGAAGTGTTGAAAACATTTCTAAACTTGACGAGAATTTAGAGATGTATTTCACTCATGTTGCATGCCCGAAGATGTATTTAAGTTCAATTAGTCAAGTAAATGAGTGTTTTTAAGGTTGTCAATAATTCGAGTATGAAACTACTAATTCGCATGGAATTTGGAGTGTTTTCAATATTTGTCTCTTATAAAAAAGGGATAAGAGTCTGAAAAATACCCCAACTTTGGTCGAATTTGCTGTTGCGATACTAAACTTTCATGATGACCTATTACCTCCCTAGACTATTTAATACCGTATTTTTCACCCCCTGAACTATTTAATAGTGTATTTTAAAGGTATATATGTGTCCACGTGGACACATTATTATTTATAATTTTGCATTATTTTTTATATCCACGTAGACAAATATATATGTTTAAAATACGATATTAAATAGTCTAGGGAGGTAATATGTCCTCATGAAAGTTTAGTATCGCAATAACAAATTCGATCAAAATTAAGGTATTTTTCAGACCCTTATCCCTATAAAAAAAATATACTCTTTTTTTTTTGTTTATTTAAAAAAAGAAAAAGATAATTTTAAAGATTAGTAGTGCATTTCAATATCCCTAAGGAGTTGTTGGGAAGATATTTCGAAAGGGGAAGAGAATATATTACTACTACGACGTCGTTGATAGTAGCTGTTAGGCTGTTATAATCGTCTCTTTCAAGTTGCCAAGAGACTCCACACTTGAAATTCTTCCATTTTATGAACAAGGCAATTTCTTTTGCGAGGTTAAAAGGTGCAGGTACTTTGATTGCTCTCTTCAATTTGCAACCTAGGATCTCTCTGCAGAATTAAAGGTTCCATTAAAATTGTATAGGTAACTGATACTATCAGCCTTAAAAGGAAAAGTTACCTACATTAACAAGTCTTATCGGAATGCACACAGAGATTACCAAGGTGTGCTTAGTGGTCAATGCTGTGGGTTGAGCACCGTGAGGTCTGTTCAATTTCGCAACATAGACATAAAATACTAAGTGATTTCTTCTCATTTGTTATTGTTTTAGTGGATAGAGTTACCTGATAGTTGTTCCATGGAATTACGAAAGCTGGTCTGGGTACCACGGTTATCAAAAAAGTTTTCCTTTGCTTCTATTAATATTACTTGGAAGAAATTCCTTAGTGGCTGAATATTTTATGTATCGTGAACGACACACTTTAATCATTTAGGATGATCTCTCTAAACAAGCGCAAGCTTATTGCCAAATGTCAACTGGCTCCTTTGGGGGTTATAAAGCATTGACATTGATTTGTAAAACTGTAGGCAATAGTTTGAAGTTGTGTATCCAGCAATATTTGAAGGCACTAAATTTCTATATCGACCTGTCTGAAGTCTTCCTTATAACTATGTGCTTATTGTTGATGATGAAGCAGGTGCTTGACCAGATGCCTTTTGTGTTCTCCTAGTTACATTTTGATTGCTCTTGGGATCTCGGACATATTACAGTCTTGAAAGAGTTCCCAACCAAAGCTTTGGCCGTGGCTGAAATCATGTCTGGAACTTCCTTTTTCTCCAGTCCACCACTATACACTACTAGTACTAACACCAAGTACAGCCATAGCCCGTCACCAGACAGACTTAAATTCTTGATAGACAAGTCAAAAAACATCAGACAGCTTCTACAGATTCATGCATTTCTTATTCGCAATGGTTTGGAGAGTGACCCAGTCTTGAGTTTTAGGCTCCAACAATCATACTCTTCCCTTGGACACCTCCAACATTCTGTTACTGTTTTTAAGCGCACTCATAGTCCAACTGTGTTCTCTTACACAGCCATTATCCATAATCATGTGATCAATGATCTCTATGAACAAGCCTATGTCTTATATATCCAAATGCTAACACAAAATATTGAGCCTAATGCATTTACATTTTCTTCGATGCTTAAAACTTGCCCACTTGAATCAGGAAAAGCCCTTCATTGTCAAGCCCTGAAACTCGGATATGAATCTGACACATACGTTCGAACTGCTCTTGTAGATGTCTATGCAAGAGGCAGTGACATTGTGTCAGCTCGCAAACTCTTTGACACTATGCCTGAAAGGTCCTTGGTGTCTTTAACAACAATGATTACTGGATATGCAAAGAATGGGCATGTCCAAAAAGCAAGAGAGTTGTTTGATGGGATGGAAGACAGGGATGTTGTTTGTTGGAATGCCATGATTGATGGGTATGGCCAACATGGTAGACCTAGTGAAACTTTGGTTCTTTTTAGGCAGATGTTACTGTCAAAAGTGAAACCTAATGAAGTAACCGTGGTGGCTGCTCTTTCTGCATGTGCGCAAATGGGAGTACTGGAATCAGGTCGTTGGATTCATGCTTATGTGAAAAGTAACAGAATCCAAGTAAATAAACATGTAGGTACTGCTTTTATTGACATGTATAGCAAGTCTGGTAGTTTAGAGGATGCAAGAATGGTGTTTGATCAGATGAGAGATAAGGATGTCATAACATGGAATTCGATGATTGTAGGATATGCGATGCATGGATTTAGCCTTGAAGCTTTGCAGCTGTTCAATGAGATGTGTAAGTTGGGTCTCCAACCTACTGATATAACGTTTATTGGCATTTTAAGTGCTTGTGCTAATGCCGGATTGGTGTCTGAAGGGTGGACTTATTTTCAGTTAATGGAGAAGTATTTAATTGAGCCAAAGATTGAGCACTATGGTTGCATGGTGAATCTTCTTGGACGAGCTGGACAGCTAGAAAAAGCTTATGAATTTGTCAAAACTATGAAGATTGATTCCGATCCTATTTTATGGGGAACTCTACTGACTGCTTGTAGGATTCATGGGGACGTAAGGCTTGCAGAGAAAATTATGGAGTTCCTAGTCGAACAGGATCTTGCTACTTCAGGTACTTATGTTCTGCTATCCAACATATATGCTGCTGCTGGTGATTGGGATGGGGTGGCAAAGGTGAGGGCATTGATGAAAAGAAGCGGGGTTGACAAGGAACCTGGCTGTAGCTCCATTGAGGTAAACAATAAAGTGCACGAGTTCCTTGCGGGTGATATGAAGCATCCCAAAAGCAAAGAAATTTACATAATGCTGGAGGAGATGAACAAGTGGCTCGAGGCTCATGGGTACTTGCCGCAGACTGAAATAGTCTTGCATAATCTTGGGGAAGTGGAGAAGCAGCAAGCACTTGCGGTTCATAGTGAAAGGCTAGCCATTGCTTATGGACTAATTAGTACTCAGGCAGGAACTACAATCAAGATTGTCAAGAATCTACGTGTTTGTCCAGATTGCCATGCTGTCACAAAGCTCATTTCAAAAATCACAGGACGCAAAATCATTGTTAGGGACCGGAATCGCTTTCATCATTTTATAGACGGTTCATGTTCTTGTGGTGATTTCTGGTAGAACTATTTGCACATGTTAACAAGCAGGCATGCAGGTTTCCTGTAAAGCGTTCTCTTTTGCATTTTTGTAAATTTCTTTTGTTGTTTTGGTAGAAATTTCATTTTCACCTTTTTGGAAGTATTTCTGTTCGTATTTTAACATTATTGAGGTGTGGGAAAACCTTTACAATAGAAACTGAATTCAGTTTAGGCATGATAGAGGATATTTCCGTACTCGCTTATTCATTCTGTTTATTTTGATGAAAGCATCTATACGGACACAGTCTCTATATTTTGTGAATTCTGTTCAGGTTCACTTATTCTGAGTAATTTGTAGACATGTAAGTCATCCTCTCTTATCTTTGCACGGATAATCTTTCTTATGTTTCTCTTTACCACCATCTTTGTAGTAAAGGGGTTTGAGAATTTCTTATTTGAATATTGTTAGACTTGAGATTGAGTGATTCGCCTTACCTGTTTATTTGCCTCCTGCCTAAATTACTTGAGGTTGTTCCTTTTGTCTCTCCTGAATTAATTGTCATGTTCTCATCTCTTATTTACTTCTCTCATATGGATCACATATGGCTTGTTAACCTGCTGTTTATGATGCACAGAGTGTTCTATAAGCATCGCATTGCACCATGGTACCTGTCGTAGCTTGATGACATCCTCATACGGTGTCATACTCAACAGGAGCTTATACAGTTGAAACTGACTACTGTTCCAACTTCCAAAGAAAGAGCCGGAGGCGAGATTTCATCACCATCTTCCCAAAGCAATCCCAATTACAAACTAATATCTGACAGCTAAAGTTGTATTGTTCATGTGGAAACAACTCTCTACTTCCTCCCAACCTTAGTAAGAATAGTACCAAGTGCTTCAGATACCACCAATCTGTGGAAGATGCAACAACTTGTTGGGCATTGTCTGCTTCACATATATGCTGCAAAACAGGTGTGTAATACTTGCTCACTTTCTTTTTCAATCATTGAGGTTTATGTACAGAATTTTGCAGATCACTTCCATAGTCCCTTTGTCAAGAATCTGATGGTAAATCAGTTGCTATGTTTTTAGCATATTTTCCAGTGCACCAGGTTGCAAAATATGGAAGAAACAAGCGTTTCGCGTAATCAGAAAGTGACATAAAAATTAGCTCCATTTCATCTGGAAAAAGATAATCTTTTTCTCAATATTGTCTTTGCAATTTGATTCAATAGTGTTCCATTTTATAGGAGGAAAGCTACCAAATATTGATAGCTCTCAGGTAGAGCATTAGAACGGAAATATCCATTAGCTGTATTGGTGCTAGGACATCCCTGTTCCTTTGTAGGTTGAAAATGGTATTACTCACAGAAGTTGCAATGAAAGACGTTTTTTAGATCACAAATTTCAAAAGAATTTCTTTCATTTTTGAACGTTGTGCTAGTCAAATATCATCACATAAACTAAGATGGACGGAGTATTATTTAGAACTACATAATTGTCTTGTTACAAGGTCAATATTGTGGAGATTTATGTGGTCCTCCATAAATCAAATTAAAATTAGTCCAATAGTAAGTGTGTCGAGTCAGGTTAAGTTAAAAGAGAAGACCTGGTTATTTAAGGGAAATCATGTGATTTTGGTCAATTCGGACAAAATCATCCAATTGAGGGGTAAACTTTGTTAAGTTTAAGTAACGACGGGATATAATTAGTTAGATAGTATAATAAAAGATAGACTTAACTCATAAAAATCCATGTGTATTGTCACTTGCAACTCTTTGGTGAAACTTTTGGAGCTTGAATCCTTTTTTTTTTTTTTTTTTTTGTATGAATAGACTTTTTCCATTTCAAATATCAATGGAAATTTCGAATTTAAAGCTCAAACTGATAGATTAGTGTAAGCTTATCCATTTACACTCTTTGAATATGAATTTGTTTTTCTAAAAAATCTTGACTTTCGTACTTAGGTGGGACTCTGAGATCCTTTCAATGATCTATATTGCAGGAATATTTATGTAGTCCAATCAATTGTACAAAGTCTGCAATACCAACTAAATCAGGTAAAGTATATTAAAAAAAGAGAAGACTAGTAGCATGTCATATTCTCTATGGGTATAAAATTTGCAAAACAATGATAATTATGTTTAGCTTCTTCTTTTTTTAATCTATTCACTCTAGGATTGCAAATACGTCTAGGGAGAGACGAATCAAGAAAATTATCTTCTATGTACAAAATAGAAGATTTTTCAAATTGAAAAATAAAGATCTCATATAAGACATAAAAACTAATAACAAATTTATAAAGGGCTATAAAAATCGAACTTATTCTTGTCGAGGAAGTATATTCCATTTTAAGCAAATTATGCGAAATGACAAACATCTAGAGTATATTGAGTATATTATGTAATATAGCTATAATTATGATTATTTTTAATCCGTCGCTACAGTTTCACGAAATTTTACTATTCAGTTTCTTAATTGTATAAATTCAGAATTTGTATAATTCGGTTCCTGATTATATAAATCCAGAATTTGTATATGCTTATCCTAGCTATTTGATTATGATATATGAAAAGTTCACGATAAATTACCCTGTTTGTATATTGACAAGCGAAATATACAAACAGAGTCCTGGGAAATTCCAATTAGGGGTGTACATGGTTGGGTTGGTTCGGATTTTTCAAATATCAAACCAAACTATTTGTGTCGGGTTTTTGAATTTATAAACCAAACCAAACCAATAAAACTCGGGTTTTTCAACCTCAGATTTTTTCGGGTTTTTCAGATTTGCGGGTTTTTTTGGGTTTTTAGGTTATAAAGTATTCATACAAACATATAATTAACTTGTACTTCAAATATTTCTTTAGTCCTACCAAAATACAATTATCTAAGGTGTTTCTTAAGAAAATAACACAAAATATGGTATGATTAATGACACTAAAATATCCAACAAAAAAATAATAATGAAATCGGTAAAACAAATATTGCAAATTAATAAGTCATAGTGAAAATGATCATAATTTAAGAGCACTAAATCATGCTAAAATAAGTTTAATAAATATTAGTTACATGACTAAATATTAAAGGAAATTAAAATTAGATTATGTATTTTAATTGCCTAAACCTATGTAAAACTAAAGAACAATTATTTAATATTATTTTCATTCTTCGTGTTGAATTGATTTTCTTTTTGCATTAGTATTAATTTAATTTTGATTTGAGCTTTATTATAATTACCAACATTTATGGACTATAATCTTTATTGGACCATTAAGAATTTTAACTTTCTAACATGAAATAATATATTAAAAGATAAAAACTATGAAAAAGTATAAGAAGTATTTAAAATTTTTATCAAAGTAAATATTTTTACGTATAAAATAAAATTTTAAAATTATATATATAATGTCGGGTTGGTTTCTTTTAGTTGACCCAAACCAACCCAAATATAATTGGATTTTTTTTCCCAATACCAAACCAAGTCAAACCAAACCGCTAGTCGGTTTTTTTTTGGTTTGACTCAGTTTGCGGTTTGATTCGATTTTGTACTCCCCTAATTCCAATATATATAAATACAAAATTTGTATATACTTGTCATGTTTGTATATTCGCAAGAGAAATATATACAAACAAAATATATAAATCACAACCTTCATAGCAAATAGAATTATATCTATGAAATGTAATTACCAAAACTATATTTATATAGCCCTATTATATCTATGATCATTGCTATTTCTGATTTTTTTGCTCAAAAAACTATAATGGGCCGTCCCGAAATTTTGCAAAATAAACCCATCCCGTTACGAAACTTTAGAATGGGCCGACCCGAGATTTTGCGGCTTGTCCCAAGTCCATATATAATATGCTTCGTCCTCAAGTGTAAACCCTTTCAGGCCTAGGGTTTTGGTTTGTCCAAAAACCCTTCAAAGGCCATCGACTTCTCTTGCAGCCATCGATACACGTAATTTCTACTCTCTGCATCTTTAATTTTGAGTTCTTCGTAGCTTTTACATTTGTTTAGGTGATTTTTCTCTGTTCAATTAGTTTAAGATAATACTATAGATTTTTTTATCATTTCCTTTTGTCGTTGATAAACGATGGAAGAGTTGAGCTCATTTTATTCTGTTTTGCTATGATGAATTTATCTTGAAATTTTGATACTCGATTCGACGATTCGTGCTTATGTTGTGATTTTTGTTTTTGTTTCTGGGAACTTGCTATTATATTTTGACTGATTTACTTAACTTTTTAGAATTTTAAAGACTATATTGCTTTTAGAGAACCTTGTTTGGATAGGAAGTAAATTACCTTTTACTATTTCAGTTGTCTGCTTGTAACTTGAAAGGTGTTATTTTCATTTCAATCTCATGGATGTGAATGATACATCTCGGTTTAGTCAAGAGTTCCTTTTTCTTTGGTTGGATTTTGTTAGCTTCCTTGTCTTAGATTGACGCTGAAAAGGGATTCCTTTTGTTCTTTTGTTAATGCCTTTTCCTTTCGTTGTAACTGTGCGTCTACTTGATGCTCTTTTGTGAATAATTTTTTTTTTTATTAAAAAAAGAGGTCCTTTTTCTTTAAAGTTTGAATTCTTATATGAAAAACCCTCTAACAAATAGCTACATTATTGTAATTTGCAATGAATTTATGGTGGTTCTATCTGGGCAGGTTTTAGGATAGGGACTTGTATGTTGTAATATGGTATTCCCATCTGAAATGTGTGTCATAATAGTGTATCAAGGTACTAAAGGCATTTAACATAATGGACTAGTGTAGCTGTAAATTTTTTGACTTGAGGCTGAAAAAAATATCTTTCTTGATTGTGTATATTTTCATAGTATAAGGATTTGAAGGCACATTTAATAAGCTTGTCAATGGAAGATATTTTTGTAATTTGAATTGCTAAGTGTTATTTGTTTAAGAGAGATCAGTCGGTTGATGGGTTCTTTTTGTTTTTGTGCATCTACTAATGCAGTTTTTTCATTTTACTGTGCAGTCTCAATTCTATACTGCAAGTCCAGATTATAAAAGATGGTGCAGTACAATTTTAAGAAGATTACGGTGGTTCCCAATGGGAAGGACTTTGTCGATATCATTCTGTCTCGCACCCAGCGTCAAACTCCTACTGTTGTGCACAAAGGATATGCTATCTCTCGTATACGTCAATTTTACATGCGCAAAGTGAAATATACGCAGCAGAATTTCTATGACAAACTCTCCACCATTATTGATGAGTTCCCCAGGCTTGATGATATCCATCCTTTCTATGGGGATCTTCTTCATGTGCTCTACAACAAAGACCATTACAAGCTTGCCCTTGGCCAAATTAATACTGCTAGAAATTTGATTTCTAAAGTAGCAAAGGATTATGTCAAATTGTTGAAATATGGTGACTCACTCTATCGCTGCAAGTCCCTGAAAGTTGCAGCTCTTGGGCGTATGTGCACTGTTATAAAGCGCATTGGCCCAAGTTTAGCTTATTTGGAACAGATTAGGCAGCACATGGCAAGACTTCCCTCAATTGATCCCAATACTCGAACCATCTTGATTTGTGGGTATCCAAATGTTGGCAAGAGTTCATTCATCAACAAGATTACAAGAGCAGATGTGGATGTTCAACCGTATGCCTTCACTACAAAGTCCTTGTTTGTTGGTCATACTGACTACAAATATCTGAGGTATCAAGTGATCGACACTCCAGGGATCTTGGATAGGCCATTCGAGGATCGTAATATCATAGAAATGTGCAGTATTACAGCTCTAGCACATCTGAGGGCTGCTGTGTTATTTTTCCTTGATATTTCTGGTTCTTGTGGCTATAGCATTGCGCAACAGGCCGCTCTTTTTCACAGCATCAAATCACTCTTTTTGAACAAGCCGTTGATGATTGTATGCAACAAAACAGACTTGCAGCCATTAGAAGGCATTTCTGAGGAAGATAAGAAGTTAGTCGCGGAGATGAAAGATGAAGCTATGAAGACAGTGATTGGTCAAGGTGGCGAGGCAACAGATGAAGCAGGTGTGCTGTTAACTATGAGCACTTTGACTGAAGATGGCGTAATTTCAGTGAAGAATGCAGCTTGTGAGAGGTTACTGAATCAAAGGGTGGAATTGAAAATGAAATCGAAAAAGTTAAATGACTGCTTGAACCGCTTCCATGTTGCTATGCCAAAACAACGTGACCAGAAAGAGAGGCCGGCATGCATACCTGAGGCAGTGTTGGAAGCCAGAGCGAAGCAGGCTGAGGCAGATGCTGAGAAACAGAAAAGGAAGCTCGAGAGAGATTTGGAGAATGAGAATGGAGGTGCTGGTGTTTATTCTGCAAGCTTGAGGAAGCACTATCTATTAGCAAATGAAGAGTGGAAGGAAGATATAATGCCTGAAATTTTAGATGGGCACAATGTCTATGACTTTGTTGACCCTGATATCTTACAAAGGCTTGAAGAATTGGAGAGAGAAGAAGGTCTTCGTCAGGAGGAAGAAGGAGATGATGATTTTGAGATGGACGGTGCAGAGCTGACCCCTGAAGAACAAGCAGCATTAGCTGAAATCCGGAAAAAGAAAAGTTTGCTCATTCAACAGCATAGAATGAAGAAGAGCACCGCAGAGAGTCGACCCACTGTACCAAGAAAGTTTGATAAAGACAAGGAGTTTACTTCAAAAAGAATGGGAAGACAGTTATCTGCTTTGGGATTGGATCCAACTCTAGCAATCAATCGAGCCCGAAGTAAGTCAAGGGGTCGTAAGCGAGAGAGATCAGTTGAACGTGGAGACGACAATGGTAATGAAACAATGGATGTTGACGAGATTACTCCCAGCAAGAAGCAACGTAGGTCTAGATCTCTTTCCATGGCAAGATCAAGGTCGATGTCACGACCTCGAAGTGAATTTGTTCCAGGGGAGGGCTTCAAGGACAAACCCCAGAAGGAACAGGCTATAAAGTTGTTCAAGAAATCTGCTAATAAGAGGAACAAGGATGCTCGTCGGGGAGAGTCCGATAGAGTCATTCCTACTCTGAAACCAAAACATCTCTTCTCTGGAAAGAGATCAAGTGGCAAAACTGACAGGCGGTAGTCACCAAGGTATATCGTACACCCCCTTTTAAGTTCCTTCCGTGACATTTTCAATTACAGGTCTTAGAGTATGCTTTCTCTATACCGTGTTCGCCATTTCAAAAACTGTTTTGTTTTGTGTTCATAGATACTTGTATACTTTTGAGTGTTCAAAACTTCTGTTGGTGTGTTATTCGGTTCCTTTCTCATACTTGGAAGATCAGTGACTAATGTGTGCAAGTTAACAATTATTACCTTCTGTTTTCCAGATGGCATTTTCCCGTCCTGCAGGATGACCACAGAACTTTGGGTGGCGATTAGAAATACATAAAGAGAACCTTTGTTGGAATGCCAGTTCAACTCAAGCTTAATTTGGACACCTGCGCAGTTGAATTTGTCGTCTCTGTTAAGCAATTTTGGAACTTACCTTGCATTTTTATTTTAAGTTGTATTTTTCCTATTGTTTTTGAACTTCAAATTGTGGAAGAAATTTAGTTTTTCTTAATCAAAGATATGAGGAACAAGCCAAGACTGCAACCTGTTGCAGTTTTGTAATGGCAATGCAAAACTACAGATGGAAGTATTTAAATTTGTGTTTGAAATGCTGCTGAGTTTGCTACCGTTTATTTTATCGTCTTAAAGTTATTATTGTGTTTTTTCCATCCAATTATGCATTTTTATTTTACTACTTTAATTTATGTTGGTAACTTTGAGAGCTCTCTGTTTCTGCCCAAAAGACGCAGCAGAGATAAAATTGATCAGCCTCTGGCATCATACAAAAAAAGAAAAGAAAAAAGAAGCTTAACATTAGAGATTTCGCCACCAAATCAACAATTGTTAACAGATTCTCCATTGGATATCAGAAAAGGCACAGGTTAGCAAAGGCCGTACATTGACAATCTAAAAAGAAGAAAACAATTTAGGTAAAGGTCAATGTAGCCAACTGATTCCTTTTAGTTAATGTAGTATTATGTCATGTTTAAGATAATAAGATTAAAAAATAATTTTTTATTCTATGTAGTTCAAGATCATAAAATTTAATGATTTCCTTTATTTTTTAAAAATAATATTGCTAAGTCAAATCTAGACAAACAATTTGAAAAGATTAATAAATTTCTTAACATGTATGCCAGACCCTAGAAAGTCACTTGGAAGATTTGAGGCGTTTCTCACCTAAGGATACCATGCATTAGATTTTTAATTTTACGTATAAGCTTATTTTAATATGATATTAAAGTGGATGACAATTAGTAGACAAAGTGAAGAAAATATTGTCATCATACTTTCATGTAAAATTATTCACTTTTATTGATATTTGTTTGCGAAAGAAATCTTACACCTATATAAAATAATATTTTCTTTCATGTATGAAAAAGAAGGGTGACAAAGCGTTTGGGATATATACTATTAATCATATATTTAGATATAGTATTTATGATAGAATATATTGTTTATTTAGTTTTAATAAAAATTCTAATAGATCCTATACCAATAAATGATTTGTAATTTATTATGGTAAAAATACAATTATTTCCATAGTAAGAAGTCTAGTAATTAAGTGTTTATATTTAATTAGAATTCAAAATCCTATTTGGGATAAGTAGGGATTTTTCTAACCCTAGAAATCCATCAAAGTATTGAGAGAGTTTAGATGTAAACTTGGGATTACGATAGAAGACCACAAACTGTTGTCTTTTGTCTAACTTGTGGCTTCGGTTGAAGATCTGTCTAACTTATGAATATGAATTCACTTCAAGGTGTTCGCTCATGCTGCAAGAGGTAATTCTTTAATTATATTTCAGCAAGTTTATGTATTCTAGCATAAACGTATTGATTATCTATTATTCTTTAATTATATTTCAGCAAATTTATGTGTTTAAGCATAAACGTATTGATTATTTGTTATTCCGGCAACCAATATGATTCTCAATAAAAAATTTATTACCTAGTAAAAAGTTACCAAATATTTGGGTCTAAAAATACAGAAAACGAAAAAAATAAATAAGTTTTCCTATTTCTACTTAGACTCGGTTTCTGCTTCTACATGAATTCGGTTTCCAAATAAATCTTCTTTTTATATAATACCCAGAGACTCCATGTTAAACCCTTAATCTTTCTTCTCTAGGGTTTTCTCATCGTTGCTTCAAATGGCGATCGATATTGTTCCTCCGAAGAGACGCCGACTCACGGATGAATCGGAATTTGACGTCATCACCGGCGAAGATGACGAACAACTCCAAATCTTGCTATGCTCGGAGGAATTGACACCGGCATACGACTATATGGATGAAGATATTAAGCCCATTCAGACATTCATCTCTGAAGAAGTTGATAGTAGAGACGTTGGGGTCACCGGAATGACGATCATGGTTGCTGGGTCTTCTTACATTCCGAAATTGAACGCAGAAAAGCCATTAGGTGAAGACGCAAGCTTTATTTGTCTTAACAAACAGGTGATCGGTGTTGCTGATGGTGTTGGTGGGTGGGCGAAAAAGGGTATCGATTCAGGTGTGTATTCAAGGGAATTGATGAAAAACGCTGAATTGGCAATTCAGAAGCAGAGTAGTATTACTACTATTGATTTGATGAAAGTTCTTAATGAAGCTTTTTCGAATACAAAGGCGAAGGGTTCTTCTACTGCTTGTATTCTGTCTCTTTCCGATGACACATTGCACGCTGTTAACGTCGGAGATAGTGGGTTTGTAGTAATAAGAGAGGGGATAATTGTGTATAAATCGAAAGTTCAGCAATCAAGGTTCAATTGTCCTTTTCAATTGGGGAATGGGAGTACTTCTGATGATCCGAGTGTAGCTGAGAAAATCAGTGTTCCAGTGATAGCAGGGGATGTGATCGTGTTGGGAACAGATGGATTGTTTGATAATGTACATGATTTCGAGTTAGAAGCAATTGTGAATTCAGGGGTGGAGTCATGGGAATCAGATGTGCCTGAGACATTGGCATGGAGGATTGCGCAGTATGCATTGGACAATGCCAAGAACACAGAGGTCTACACGCCTTTTACGAGAGAGTGTTTTAAAGATGGTGTTGTACGTAATGGTGGAAAGTATGATGATATTACTGTCATTGTCGCGAATATTTGGCCTTTGTAGTGCTCTCTGGCTTTTGATGTCTGATCTAACTTACTTGGAGAGAAATTAGAGTTAAAACAATTTTTTTCGTAATAGTTGTAAATAATTGTTCTTCATAGGTTTGATGTTAGCTGAGGAACAATCTTTATATGTAGTTTGATTCGATTTGTTTCTCCATCTTCTTCTCTCGTCTTCAATCTCTTCTGCTTTTTCAAGATATGAACTTTGTAATATACGATTAACAAGATAACAGGAAATTGTATTCCAATATCTTAGTGCTTCTGATAGAACAATGGAATCGATTTGAAAAATAGTGTTGGTGAAGTCATTACCAGGGAGATCATTGAGAAAAGCTTGAATCTTTGTACAATCTTTGTGACATTCGATTACTGTGAAAAAGGTGTTTAGTCCTGAAGATCAAATCAAAGAGGAACAACCCATTGAATAAACTGCAATTTATTGAATAAAAATAAAGTATCACTCCTTCAAAGATATTGAAATACAATTTCCTGAAATTATTCAATAACAATAATTTATCACTCCCTCAAAGATATTGGAATAATGTCTACAAGGAGTGTGGTACTTAACTATATTGTTAAGTGCAACATCTTGTTGTTCTTTCTCTGTCATTTCTTTCTTAAAGATATGACAATGTTGGAGAACTTACCCTTTTGAACCAACAAATGACAAGTCAAATGGTAGGCATATCTTTCAAACAAATAATCAACAACGGGATCTCCGAATTGGAAATGGCTAACAAGCATTTGTTCTAAAACAGCTCTCATGCTTCTTGCTATATTTTTACCACTGCTATATGCATCGAAACAAATATCATCAGCGTTGTCACTCTCATCCCAGTTCACTTTGAAAAACTTTATGGTATCAACATCAAATGAGCCTTCCATTTGAACAATTTTTTCAACTTCATCCTTGTATGGTGCATAAAAAGGAAAATGAAAGGAGTCTAATTTTGCCTGTTCAATAAGTCCCTGCAGGCCATATCAAGTAAACATGAACATAGATTTAACAAAGGATTTAGTTTAATACACTGTAAGTCATTTAACACTATTAGTGCAATTTAAGTCTCTATAATAGCTTGTCGCTCCCTGCAGAGCTTCGACAGAGTTTTTTTTTTCTCATTCGTACTCCAAGAATTCTAAAGGACTTTTATTTCATATTGCACCGGGCTGGAAAAGATTGGACTATTCCCTATCAAGACAACATAAACTCTTCAACACACATAATGGAAGCTTAGCGCACCACACTACCTCTTGTAGTAGTAAATCATTTCCTCTATTTTCTAGGTTACCAATTCATGACTGATATAATTTGTTAGATTTTTTGCGAAAATTGTAAGTATAACCAAGATTCAGGACTAATATAGTTTGTTACTTATAGTAACCTTCTAAACGACCAATACTGTAAGAAATTCTTTTTGCATTGTAAGTGTACTAAAGTTAAACTCTAACGAATTACTAGAAGAAAGCAAGAAGTTAGCAGAGGCGAAGTAGTGGACCTCATGTATTAAATCAATGAATGAGTTTGATAGAAGATCCAGATGAGCAGAGTGACTTCCATAGGGATCAGGAATGCTCCTTCCCATAAATGTTAAAACCATGTGTCCACCAGTTACTATTTCCTCGGAGCGTACTTGCAAAAACCTTGAGAAATCCTTGTCAAATTGCTTCATGTAGGCTTCAAATACTTGAGGAGGACTTGTCCTTGTAATGTAAATGTTGTTGTTCTCAATCTTTTCAGGAGCCTACATGTTTAGTGTATCTTAGCACAAAAAGATTCCTCTTTGTAATATATATGATTTAACAAGATAACTAACTAGAGATAGTATGATTCATTGATACCTGAGAGAGCCAATGTAGACTATAAGATGAGTGAACCAAGTGCAACCTTTTGCTAGGAAATAGCCGCTCATAAAAGGTACCTGGAACGCCTGATACAAAACAATTTGCTCCATCTATTGCTTCTTTGAGATTCCGATAGAAGGATGGAATCGATTTGAAAATAGTGTTGAAGTCATTATCAGGGAGATCATTGAGATAAGCTTGAAACTCTGGCATTTTGCAACTCTTTTCGTCGCATAAAACTTGTACAATCTTTATGATATTTGATAGTGTGAATAGTGTGTTTGGTCCTGAAGAGCAACCCAAGTCTGCCATATTGAAACATGACGACTTGGGAAAGCCACCAGTAATATTATTGAACATCTTCTTGATGGCATCTTCTAATACAGGTTTTGCCTTTTCTATAACCTTTCTCTGGAAATTAGAAACATGAATTGAGTATTGATTACTTAGTTCATATAACAACAACAACAGAAACACTAATTACGCGTCAATTTCAAGCAAGTTTGATTGGACGGAATGTGTAAGCAAGCTCAAACAAGTGGAGTTTGATTAGCATAAAAGAGAATTCATACGTACCTGAAGAGTGGAGCAGCTGGCATAACTGCATTCTCCATTGCCTGCATTCATATGCAGAAGCTTGCCCCTTGCCATTATTTCTGCCACACTCCTAGCTGCCTTTTTTATATCCCATTGTATGTCTTCTTATATATAAATACTATTGAGGAATGATCCATAATTAATGCTCTTGTTGTCTTTGTACGTTATAATATACTATTTCTTTCGTTTCAATTTATTTGTCTTATCTTAATTTTTAGTCAATTTCAAAAGAAATGTATATATCTCTGGAACTTAGGAAACATTTATTGAATTGATTCAAAATATCTATAGAAATAACAGATAAATATTTTTTATTGGGAAATTCCAATGAAAAATTGTGCTTAATTTTTTAATATTAAGCAAGCTCAAACAGGCGGAGTTTTGACTAGCAATTAGTAATAGAGAATTCAGATCTGAAGAGTGGAGTTTCCTGGCACAACTGTATTCTCCATTCCCTGCCTTCACATGCATAAGTTTGAGCCTTGCCATCAGTGGTGGAGCCAAAAAATTTAATAAGGGGGTTCAAAATCTGAAAAGTAAACACACAAACTAGTGGAAGGGGGTTCGACATCTATTATACATACCTAAACAACAATTTTAACCATGTATAAATAATAATATTTTTCGCCGAGGGGGTTCGGATGAACCCCTCATGCTGCCTCCGCCCCTGCTTGCCATTATTTCTTAAAAAAACGATTTTAAAACTTAGAAGCTATTTCAATTAAGGCAAATGTGCTAATTAAAAGAAATAATATATTTTTTATGATTAACTTAATTAATAATATACACGTGAGAATACACACAAATGCCAATCAGAGAGTTCATACTTTGGTGTAAATTGATTTTTGGTTAAAACTAAAGTCAATCAATTTAGTAGATTCTTTAATTATTTAAACGGATCAAATCAAATATTATTGATTTTAAAAAACATCAAATAAAATTAATCCCAAAAAAGAATAGATTTATTTATTTAATTTAATTTGATTTGATTTTTTATTTGAATAGATCTCTTTTTATAGATATAAACACCTCTTTCTCTAAATTTATAATATATATTTTTCCGATTTCGATTTGGTCAATTTTGCCGGTTGGTTGGATTTTTACGGGTGTTTTTTTATTCTTCTAGATAATCAAAATAAATGATCATCAAACTCGACCTACATCTTATTATTGATGTATTAGCATTGGAATGAAATTAAGCAAATATTGAGAAAAAAATTAATATTAATGATATATTAATCAAATTGATAAAAATTATTGTACAAGATTTTCCTTCGTAATATATATGATCTAACGGAGGTTTTTTTTTTTTAAAAAAGCAATCACTCAGGCTTTCACTTCCTGTTGCAAGAACTCTTCACTTTTAATACCACACTAGTGTCGACACGATGTGGGTATGAGAAGGGATCCGCACCAGATCATTCAATTTTGGGTACTTTGATCAAAATGACGAAGAAATTTTGGACAAGTAAAAACAAAGGTAAAGTGAAATTAAAGAAAATGCAATATCTTGTATATTGAAATTTCTAGTTGGTCCTTTTCCTTTTTATCTCCGTTTGATATTCTCCTCTTGATCAATATTTTCTTCTCAGAATACCTTGTAAGTTTTCCATTCAATGTCTCATATTTAGGCATATTTTATAACTCAAATTTTATCTATTTGAATTACTTTTAGCTGAACCCCTGCAGGCTGCAACCATATCTGTACCCCAAATCTTAGAATTTAGATCATAAATGATCCGACCTCCATATCTGCACTTGTATCGAACACTCACACATTATTAGACCACATTTTTGTTAATCCATGATCTGAGTATGACAATGTGGAGCTTTTAAATATTTTCGTTAATCCATGAACAAGATCTATATAGTCGGATCTAGATTGGAAAAGAAGGAAGCTCTCAAGTCATAATAACCTCAGAAAATTTTCATACACAAGCTGATGTTGATCACAACATCTATACTGGTAGATTTCAAAAAAAGGCAAGATTGTAATTAAGATATGCTGCTTGTGTTTCAACACAAGATGCAAGACTAATCACAACTCACAAGTTCTCACATTGCAATAAATTAACATCACCTTAAACATAATCTCTCTGAATACAGAAACTCATCGCAAAGTAGTATTATTTTTATTACTGTAGTGATCAGAGGGCAACAAGCTGTAGAGTATTGCAACTTTAAAGCTTGGCAATTGCATATGGAGGCAAGTTTGATCTTGGAGGCAGCTTTAAGTCTTCCCAATCTTCATCGTCTATCTTGGAGAAGTAACGGTCAACATCATCATCTCTAATTAGTTCCAATCTGGAGGGCTCCCACTGAAAACATGTGAAGAGATTAGCACAAGCTTTCGATATCTAAGTTCAGGTTTATTCATGATCAAATGAACGTAACACACCTTAGGATTTCTATCCTTGTCAATGAGTATGGCTCTGCATCCCTGCAGTAAAAGTCAAGTTGTCATGAGTTTTTGTTGGGAAAATGCGGACAAACACAAAAATATATATGGTAAAAGTAATGAAAATAAAATGGAAAAATAATGACACCAAGAATTTTACGTGGAAACCCTTCTAAATAAGGGGAAAACCACGGGCCAAGAGGAGCAACTGATATCACTATAGTAAGGAATTTTACACTGTATAGTCACGAATACAATACTTAAAGTGACTACTACACACTCAAAAGGAATAACACTCTTTTGATTTCCACCTTACTAAAATATCGCTCACACTCTATTTTTCTTCACATATAGTCTATGGAAACCTCACAGCTCTCTAAATATTTTACTCTCTCTGTGAATTGGTGTATTTAGGAATGAGCAAAGGGCTCTCTATTTATAGAAGAAATTTGCAACTGCAAATTTCAACACCATACATAATATGTCAAAGTTGTGCCACCGAAAACATTTTTAATTGCTGTGTTTTTCAACATTTGCTGCTATTGCAATTTGCCAACAATTGACAATTGCATGTAGCAATTGTTGAAGTAAAAAATGGAATAGTGGGACTGGACCCCACAAATCTCCCCCTCCAGTCCCATTCACTGGAAGGAGGTATCTTTATATTCTTTAGAGGGAGCACATACCCACAAGTTCTTTGCATAACTCGAACTTGTCTTTCGGTATCGTCTTAGTCAGCATATCTGTAGGATTTTCACTTGTGTGGATCTTTTTGACGTGAAATGATTCACTCTCCACTTCCTCACGAATCCAATGATATCTGACATCGATGTGTTTTGTTCTTGCATGGTACATGGAGTTCTTGCTCAAGTCTATTGCACTTTGACTATCACAATGGACAACATACTCCATCTGTTGCAATTCAAGTTCTTGAAGAAATCGCTTTAGCCATATCATCTCCTTGCCGGCTTTAGTAGCCGCAATATACTCAGCTTCAGTTGTAGATAGTGCAACACACTTCTGTAACTTCGACTGCCATGATATAGCTCCCCTTGAAAAAGTAAACAAATATCCAATAGTGGATTTTCTGTTATCAAGGTCACTTGCCATATCAGCATCTGTATAGCCCTTCAAGATTGGATCTGCTTCTCCAAAACACAAGCATTCATCTGAGCTTCCTCTAAGATACCTGAGTATCCACTTCACAGCTTCCCAATGCTTTTTTCCCAGATTGTCGAGGAATCTGCTAACAACACCAACTGCGTGAGCAATATCAGGTCTAATGCATACCATTGCATACATTAGACTTCCGACAACAGAGGAATATGGAACTTTGGCCATTCTCTCTTTTTCATCTCTAGCTGTAGGACACATCTTCTTGCTCAACTTCATATGACCAGCAAAAGGTGTACTGACAGGATTAGCATTTTTCATATTGAAGCGCTCTAGTACACGTTCAATGTACTTCTTCTGTGACAAATAAATCTTCCTTTCATCTTTGAGACGAGTAATTCTCATGCCCAAAATTTGCTTGGCATGACCCAAGTGTTTCATAGCAAAAGACTTATGCAACTCTTTCTTCAACTCGTTAATCTTGGAAGTATTCTTGCCCACAATCAACATATCATTCACATACAACAAGAGGATGATAAAATCATTGTCAGAAAATTTTTGTACAAATACACAGTGATCTGAAGAAGTCTTCTTATAGCCTTGCTCCCCCATAACAGATTCAAATTTCTTGTACCACTGTCTAGGAGCTTGCTTTAGGCCATAAAGACTCTTTTTGAGTTTGCACACAAAATTTTCTTTACCTTCTACTTTGAAGCCCTCAGGTTGTTCCATATAAATTTCTTCTTCTAGGTCACCGTGAAGGAAAGCCGTCTTCACATCCATCTGCTCAATCTCTAAATTAAGACTAGCAGCCAAACCCAGAACTGTACGAATCGAGGACATTTTCACAACAGGAGAAAATATCTCGTCAAAGTCAATACCCTTTCTTTGACCAAATCCCTTAACACCATACATAATATGTTAAAGTTGTGCCACCGAAAGCATTTTTAATTGCTGTGTTTTTCAACATTTGTTGCTATTGCAATTTGCCAACAATTGACAATTGCATGCAACAATTATTGAAGTAAAAAATGGAATAGTGGGACTGGACCCCACAGTTTTGTAATGCAGTAAAATGGATGGCTGAAAGATTAACATATTCTACCTCGACAAAATCCTTGCTAAAGTCTCCCTTCAACACATGACAAAGCATCCTATACTCTCGAATAAGGCAACTACCTACATCTTGCAGCCTTCCTTCTCTTATCTGGAACGGAAAAAATGAAACTAATATGAACATTAAACCACTCTCCAATGAAAATGTTGGCCAAATTAAGCAGTAGTGATTGACTTACTGATCTCAAGTAAACTTTAAGACTTATTGGGGATGCTTTCTTCAGCGATTGTATGGTTGAAGAGATCCAGTCATCCTTGTTGTTCAAAGCCTCATTTTCCTGTTGATAATTCATGTTTCCAAGTTCACATAAAGTATTCTGATAACTTATTTTACAAAGTAATTTCACCGCAGAAATTAAAAGAACGCATCCATCTCTCAAACTTACAAGAGAAGATATGATTTCTTCTATTGTTCTTTGAGAGAAAC